AATACAAAAAAAAAAAAAACAGTAATTGATATACTTGTAATTTACATTAGGTACCTTAAGAAATGTAGCAATAGGCATATTTTCGGGGGATACCCTGTCATGTACGAGTAGTTTATAATAATTGTTGGAAAAAATTGATTGAAAAGTTGAAAAGAAACGACATGTGTGACTTTTGTTTTGTGTTTATTTTTTTTTTTTTGGCCGTGAAAGATATCAACGCAGTGGAAAGTTAATTTAAATGTTATCAAAGGGTTCATAACTTGAGGTAGATGTACTCTATAAAGCCGTTATGTTTTCCACAAGTCTAGTTTTTATTTTTATCATTTCGATTTTTAAAAGTTGTTTAGAGTGTTCCACTAGTGTTGAAAGAAATTGAGTTAATGTTTTGTTTAGTTTTTTTTACCATTTAGACCCAACATTATGCATCGGATACCTGTGCAGGGTAAGCGGCTGGTTCATCAATCTATCAAACTTCGCGATCTCATATTCAAATCCCCCGTTATCGTTTTCAATTATTCAATCAAATGCATTCGAATAAACCACGTGAGTTGTCCGCAAAATCTTACTGAAGATATCCGTTTTCGCCGTCTTGATTGCTCCGTGCGTCGTCGAATGATGACGTTTCCGTTCTCGTCCGTCCCTCGCCACTATACGAGTACTATCAGTCGTCGGTCATTTTGGATGTTCCTCGTTTTCCGATCGTGTTATGTCTTAAACGTGATACGTTTCGTTAGTGGTAAGGATCGGAAACATCGCGTTTTCACACCTCCGATAATTTTAAAATGAATTTAATATTCACGGGACCGTCAGGTCTTGGAAAATAGCAACATGGATAGTATTGCTGTAGTACCGTCGCTCCGTATCTACTAGTCTTTCATGAAATCCGTTCACCTAATCGGCAGTCGTTGACTTGTTAAATATCAAAATGTTATGAATAATAATATGCTCCGGAACGGTCTATAGTGGGACGCGTTGAAGGTGAGCGTCTGAAGAAATACGAGAAATCTTTTCCGAACTCGCAACGCATATTTCTATTCTTTAAATACCGTATTGCGCTTATATTTATCGGAGCGAAAATGTTTCTGTTGCATCCTGATATCTAAATCGATCCCTGGTGCACACAGATATTTTACTTGACCATAAACGGCCACGAAGTTAATGCAGTACGTGGGTTGATGCAATTAACAGTGTTTAACGGTGGCAAGAAACTTTTAAAAAATGTACGGAGTGTGTACGTAAGTTTTTCGAATAAAACAACAATTTGTAAACATGCCATTTAGGCGATTGAAAAGGAATGGGATCATTAAAATTTGTTCTACGCTATATCTACCGTCAGATTCACGGTAAATACATTTGATGAGTCAGTCATAATGTAACTTGACCAAAAAAATACATTTGGTTTACTACGATTTACAGAAATACGTATTGTAAAAAAAAAAAAAAAAAACAATTGTAATTCAATATTCAACGTATGTTACATATTCATTATTTTTATAATTATTCATACATATTTGATGGGTAAATATATAAATACTCACCCAGGATATCTATCTTCAGATCTCACTGACATTATATTTTTATCTTTTCAAATATTTTTAAAAACCTTTTGAGTTTGATCTGAGGCGGAACTAGGAGAGAAAGACGAGGATTCATATCCGGGTGTTATATTTTAGAGAGTGTAACTTTTGTAATATTTAATTTATAATTTATTATTAGTTTGATTTTTTTAATTTTTTTAATGATGATTTGTTTAAAACTCAAAAAGTATGATTGTATGCTTATTATTAGAAAACAAGTATGGGGAAAAGTATTTTAATAATTCTCTAGGCGTAAAAATTCCTAGTTCCGCTCTTGAGTTATAGTTAAAAAAAAAGTCCAAGTATACATTGATTGTTTATCGATTATATAATAGGTAAAAGAGTAAAAAATAATTATACTGTTGATTTAGTCTATTAACTTTGTTCAAAAAGAGAAGACGTAACATCTTGCCTCCACAATGTGTACTTTATTTTTATTATTATTTTTGCTCTATGTGAACAATGTACTTATTTGCTTTATCTTTTTAATAAATATTTGCACTAGTTTATTTTTACTCAATTATTAAGTTATAAATACATTATTTTTAATGAAATTTAATTGATTATGTTAGGAACACTACATCTTGCGATTATTAGTATTATGAAATTGTAAATTTTATTATTTTACAGTATTTTTAACGTATTTTAGCTTTATCTTGAAAGTGTTATTTTATAATACAGTTCCCAAACTTAGTTTTTGTTTATATATTGTACAGATTTTCTTTTGGTTCATATATAAGAAAATAATGATTGAAGTACATTTGGTTTATCGGTTCAACGTTGAAGTAAACATTTGGTTCAATACGCACCGTTAAAAAGTGATTTTTTTTTTTTTTTTTGTAAAGCAAGTCTATGAAAATATAAACTCTAGAAATTAATTTTTGATTGATCCTCAAATACCTGATAACATGAATTTAATTATTTATTTACAGCAATCACTTTTGAGGTGTGAACATATTTTTGATTGTTGACATATTGACACTATAAACATATTATAAGAAAATTTGTCGAAATCATAAAACTTTAAATATTTCTATGAAAACAGCGAATTAATGGGAAAACCATAGAATTGTTGGTAAAAACAAACATTTTAAAATATTGATATAGTGTTGGAAATTACATGTACGGAAACGGTTTTTGCAATTAGTCGTACCGTCTTGTTCAAGTTTTGAGTACTAACCTAATCTGGTCCAGCATGAGTGAAGTAATTGCAGTGGAATGAATTGCTTAAATTGTTCTCGGTAGAATAATTATTCTTTTTTTAATTTTGACGTATTATTAGTCATTTACACAACCAAACGCTCCAATCGAGTGTCCGAAAATCGCAACAGTATAATATTCTAAACGTTCGAGCGGTATTCTCGGATAAAGCGCACAAATCCAATGGATTAGTATAACGAAGACCGACGTAATGTTTAACCCGTTTTCTATTAATTGCGTTCGGCACCCACCGTAAATAAAATATAAATATAACTTTGTACATTCTATAACTTAATGAATTGTACGCCCCAGTTGCCGAGGTTGGTCACCTTTGAAATCGGTAGCAGTTTTAGAAGCGCAAAAACGGAACGTTAGTTTAACGGTCGGACATAAATTATATCCGCCGAAAACCGTACGGTCCTGGTTTAAAATTGTGTTCCGTCGTTGTACAATTTTAAGTGGGAACGCGCACTGTTGAGAATTTAAGTTTTAATACGACTATTATGTCCGCGTTGTCGCACGTAATGTTAAATCACTCGTAGAAACTATATCACTCGGAAGCGTGGTTGAACGAATGCTAATTTTATTAGCACGTAAATCAGTACCGCATCGCTTTTCTTTCCCGTAGCCGAAAGGGGTAGTGCGAATAGTGTTCGTGTCCGTCGCGTTCGTTATATACCGAATGAGCTGCGTGTAGTTAATATCATATTGTATCAACAATATTCAATATACGATATAAATTGGGAAGTGTTACACAAAAGTTTATAACCCTTTTGGCCGATGAAACACGAATGCAAGGGTGTACGGATCATAGCAAAATCCGGACCTCGTTCCGGGTGTTACAAAAATATTCTTAAAAAAAGCCACGCTTGAGTTTTACCGTGATCCAAACAGACGCAAATTCTTGAACACTGAGAAAAAAACGTAAAAACACGAACAGTTTTGGTGTATTGTTTCGGTAAACCAAGTGAAATCACCCGCGTTTAATACTGGATTCAATCGATCTTTCGTCGCATCTCAGACTACCACTGACAACACTGTTTCTGTTATGTAACACCGGAACACAAAATTTTCGTGAACGGAATATTGGTGCGATACATATCCTTACGATCGAGTGGACCTCAGGTGTAAATTAATCGTAGGGTACATTAAGAATGAATTGAAATCAAGTCACAGCCTTCTGGAGTGTCGTCCTTACAGTCGGTTCGTTGAAACGCCAAGGATTCGTTGATCGGTATCACGCGAAATAGTTCCGTGTTACCGCAGTTTATGTATCGATCGAATTCGCAATCCCTTCGGACAGGAAGATTGAACGAGGAGTTAATTCGCGCAATGATAGCATTTGCCAATTCGGTCGGTCGGAATCAATGCGCGGCCTCGATTTCTAACTGTTATTACTGGCTCGTTTTCAAATCGATTAATTTTTAATGTCGATCCGTTAATTATCGCTCAGACTTTTTCGTTCTGATAGACACCGGTGAACCGTTTTACACGGATGTTTCGAAACGGAAACGGTTTTCAACGACTAACGATACCAATCAATCAATCTATTGACGGCTGTTATAACCCATAATAGGGCTTTCAACCGTAAATCGCAACCGTTGGTTAAACTCAAACACGGTGTAGCAATACTCTAGTGATGATAAAATTAACGACGAACGTAACGCTATACGTCTACTGTAAAATCTAGATCGACAAATACTTAAAGTCGGATACGACGAATTCACGGTTTACCGTTACACGGATTCGATATAATAACGTGGTACACAGCATTGATATTTCTACTCGTACACCAAACATGATATGCGTTTACACGCTTCATTAATGTGCTTTTGTCTAACGATTTAACCAAAATTTGTGTTTATGCTCCGTTATTTAATTATGAAACAGCTGCTGGAGAGAGGTTTAAAAACGTACAGGGGCTCATTGAGTACCCGTTGGAAATCGGCTTTTTTTTTTTTTTGTAGACGTGGTAGCGGAGTCCAGTCCACGGTGAACCCGGTAAAACGACCAATGTCGCACTTTTACATTTCGCTTGAGGTAGGTCCGGTCGAAAGTCCGCTGGTACCGGTGCTCGTACCCGCTGCCGCTACTTTTGCGGCGACGCAAAAAACCGCATGCGAATTTCGTAAAGCTCGTCGGGCCGCTCTGCCGTCGGCGCCACCAACAACATCGACGACGGCGACGACGACATCGGCGGCGGTACGTCAGTTTCATCGGGACCGTCTACGGGGTCGTGTTCGCGCCGTCTCTGTATTTCCGTCCACGGTCCGTAACACGACGCCATCGTCACTTCCGAAAACAGACGACCCCAGTTTCGTTTCCCCGCCCCCTCGATCACCCCCGGGGTTTTCCGGTGCAGTTTTCCGCCGAAAACCGTCGACATCCGGTCTCGGCGATTCTAGCACCGAGTCGGTCAACCACGTCCTTATACCGCTACCCTCGTTACCCCACCGTCCTGAATTTGACTTTGGCCGAAAACCACCCCAGTGTTCGCACGACCGTCGCACGCGTCACGTCCGTTACCGCCGATCGTTTCGTTAATTTTTCTATCGCCAACGTCGCGCTGACGTACACCGATGCGAAAGGTTTGACCGTGTCCGTCCCCGACACGCTCGTCAACGGTAAACCGCGATCGATTCACCTGTAAGTATGTTATATTTAGATTTCACAACGGTAATACCTAATCATTTCTCGCCTCCGTTGCGCCATTCCTATTCGTGTGAGCCGCGAGCACCGGACGACTGTACAGCGATTGTTGTCCGCGCGTCGATGATCGTCTCTAACCGTTGATCGATCGAATTAATTTCCCGCTCCATCCGGATTTCCCGCGCCCGACGAAACGAACGAGCTTCGAACGCAACGGCCCGACGATTTCCATCGCCTCCGCCAGTTCACGCCACGTCACGTCATGCGTTTATCGGGAGAAACGCGTCCGATCCGATCGCGTTGAGATGATCGATAATCTTTATGGGATAGGGGCGATGAGAAGTCGCGTGTTACGTCGTCATCTACTGTGAATGCACGACGGGCCACCCCGTGTAATAAACTATTAACCATTATATGTATATATATATTGTTATTATTACTGTGTCACGGTGTTCCGTAAACGAACGCCGTGATAGCTTTGCCGATTCTCGTGTTTTGACAGGCACCGCGAGGTCGCCGACTCGTGACGAACGATGACGCGCGTTTACCGTGCGCGTATCGTCGGTACGATCATCGTCAAGGAAATCGGGTATGCTCTCCGAGTCAACGAGCGTTCGTCTTGTGAAACGCTATAACTTGTACGCGCAAACAGATCGATGGGTAAAAACGATCGTGTCATAACATTATACCTACCTATTACTATGGCCATCGGATGCACGGTATGCGTGGAAAAACACGTCGGGGATGAGCGCTTAGGGGCACCGATTGCGGTAAACAAAATTACTGATCCCCGCGCATCGTAATATTATAATCCGTTCTTTAATCGGCGAACGACAAAAACCGTTTTTTCCGTACGAATTACACGTTCGTTACAACACCATAAATGTATACACTTGCCCAGAACCACCAACAATATTTTCATTTAAATATACTACTAGAGAACTCGTTGCAACACTACTTCAGCGATTTCGTAGCCAACCGTAGTATGAACAATTCATCTTATTTGATAATGTGCCAACGGTACTACAGTACTTCATAAAAAAATAAACTTTTACATTCAAATGTCAAACGTATTTTTTAAATTCAAAAAAATCCATCATCTAACTTTCTTTCGTAACAGTGATTAGTGAAACAATTAGTCCGTTGAAAAAGCACTTCTACCCCTCCAAACTTCGCCTCCTAAAATGTGCACATTAGCTTTCGAAGTGACGACGGTTGCCGACAAAAAAACATATATTATGTTTTTCATCAGTGAACTTTTCGACTTTATACAGTTGAGTTTATAGATGTAAAAAAAAAAAAAAAAACTTTAGGTTTTATACGAATTTCACATAAAAACAAGACCGATGATATTTCGTGAGCGTTCAGTTAGAAGACATATCAAGTGACGTTTTATATAGGAAGCCGAACAAGAAATATGATATTTCTCGATATATATAATACGATTAACATGCTGATTAGTGTTATAGATTAAAACTTTTTTTATTTAATCGTTGACAACGATGACAGCAGTATTGTGTCGTTTTAAAGATAATTTTTTCGGACGCTGTATAGAAAAATGGGAATATTATGTTTCGAATAATCGACCGTGATTTATAAAAATTCAATAAAAAAAATTTACTATTTTTTCGTTCTCAATAATTATATTTTAACTTTTATACAATAGTAAATACCAATAAAATAAAAAAGTTAATAGTTATGAAAGTAATTTAAGTTAAATAAAACGAGTATAACCATTATTTATGTAAGTTATATCCATGGTAAATGTAATTCATGGAAATGTATGGTGAATACGATGAAAAAAGTAAGTTTATACAAAGATAGATTAATTGTTTTTATTAATTTCCAAGTTCTTTTGTATTGTTGTCCAATTTCTATTTTTAAATTGAATGTGATAAGTGTAACCAATGATGTTCATGATATTCATACTATGATTTTTGTGATTTTTATACTATTTAGACGAAATATGTGATATTTAAAAATTTAAAGTGAAGTTACTAAAACTCGTAGTGGGTCAAGTACGTTCTTAAAAACTAATAAAATAATTTCTTAAAAATGATATAACGTGGACTTGGTAAATAAATTATAATTATAAGTAGCGGGTCACTCCAGACCATTGTTTTTTTAAAGAAATTTATGCGTTTATTTATAATTGTTACTTGCGTAAAATGCTGACATCTAATTTTGATTATTATCCGAAATCATATTATTTCATATCCAGTTTATGATTCAAATCATTCAAAAATAAAAACGCATAAGTTGATAATTTTAATAGTCTGGCCAAGGAACCGAGAAACAATGAAAACAATAATATTACAGTTTTACCGTAGTATTATATCAGTGCTAACTCGCGTAAGAAAACCGTTCGTTAACAATTATTTTTGTTGCATAAAATCTGTAATCGTTTTTTCATCGGAAATATGATTTATATTATTACCATCAGTATGCTTGAATTGAACGATATACCAACATTTTATTATAATGCATTACCTCGCGCGTAACAAATAATTGCTCCGTAATGATTTATTTTTTGAAACTAATGAATTTCAAAATTATTTCTTGTAAAATCAAACAACTGAATTTTTCACGATCAATTAATTTAAATAATAATATTATTCTTCAATTTAATTGAAAAATGTTTAACCTCGACCAACTTTAAAAGTATAACTTGTTGTGTAATAAGATTTATGTTGTATATTATTTACTAACTTATGAAAAATTGTTCTTAGAATATTATGTGTGGTGCATTTTCCACAATTCAAAATTTTATAACATTTCAATTGTATAGTTCAGACAAAAATAGTTGACACTTATTTAAGTTAAGTTGAATTTATACAATCGTTGTACATGATAGATTTTTCTATCACATATTTAGAGTAAACATTAAAATTTAAATAAAATTTAAAAAAAATAAATAAATAAAAAAAAAAATAGTGTGAGAAATGATTTATCTAAAATAATATGCGCAAGATTTGGGAAACCAAATCATGTGGACAAGGTTGACAGATCCCATAAAACTATTGTGTGAGGATAAAAGGGTAAAAGAGTATAGGGTATCTTCTAATAATTCATCTTAAACACAATTTATACGTCCAGTATTTGCCACCGTTCGTGTCATTTTATAAATTCTGACAAATTATATAGATTTATTTTTCCAAATCATTTTGCACACTTTCTTATTTATATTTTTTCTTTTATAAGTGTTTAACAATAAATTATGCAACGGTTTTATTTTTCTATTTAAAAATATATATTATTATATTTTTCTAAAAACGATTGCACTACGAACCCTAAGTCGGACATTGTTAATTAAATGAACGAAATTAAAATTGATCGACGACAAAAATAGGGAATTACATGTAAAAAAAACTACATTATTTTTTTTTCTATACTATATACCATAGTTCAACAATAATGAACGACTAACATACGGTTTAAACTCCTAATTCTTTCTTGGGAGGTGTTTGTGGGTTTGTGTTCATTTGAACATAGGCGATCCTTCGATATTCTACAACGCCGAGTGCACCGATACCGATACACGAATCCCAAATAAAAACGGAGTTTCTACATATTTAATATTGATTCGAGTTTTTTTTTTTTTTTTTAGTTTTTCAATAATTCATCGCGATTTATAGCACATGACGTGCAGTCGATATTTGAACAGTACAGGTGCGTTAGATATCAGTAGATAAACGTCTTCTGTGTAGCCATAGTTTCATACGTATACAGTTATAACCAAAATAAGCCGTAAATTCTTCCTTTGGCAACATTATATTTCTCGCAATGACATAGTGAACAATCATTTACTATTTAAATATTTTAACTAAATATCATTCCGAACAGTAAAAATCTAACGTGTGATCCTCTACGACCATTTATTATGTAATATATATATAATGTATTTACATAATATATATTATGTAATTATTTATCGATTATGAGTAATTTGGTTATACCGAATGTCATCGTTTTCCGCCTAAAGGTACACGTCCATTGGTACGCATCGTACGTATCGGACGTATCGTATGAAACGGATTTAAGAATTATTAGTATAATAAGTTATATACATGCGTCCACTGACCGGCAGCGGACGGATCGCACGCATCGGTTCGTCGGTTATGTCGATGAAATTGATCGAAGGGGCAACTTTTCCGACTGGTGCTGATGACGTCATACGGATTTCGCTACGATAATGCGAATGTTACTAAAAAAACCAACCGTCGCATCGGCAATATGATTGCTACCGGTACAGTGGACGCACTACCATAATTTGATCCGTTTCATACGATCCGACCGATACGTACAATGCGTACCTATGGACGCGTACCTAAAATCGACCATTCCGTTTACCGCCGGTAGAATAATATATATATATGTCCTTTATCCACTACCACAGATTTTAGTTTCTATATATTGGTAACTCCTAATTGAATGAATTAAAATATTATATAATATACCTATGTATAGTTTATCACAGATAATATGTTCACAATCGTGTGTTTTTCTTTATTAACAAAAAATAAAGGAAAGTTTACGTTCGAAATTCATGTGACATCTGGCAATAGAGATAAAGTATTTCTAGTTTGATATTTTTTGCTTGTATGGATCTTATGATACTTATTACATTTTAGTTTGTGTTGAAGTTCGTGAAAAAAAAATAGTACGCTCAAAACAATGAAAAATATAATTGAGAGTAATCGTGGTAAAAAACAGTTAATTTTAGATAATTTTATACATCAAATTGGTTCATGTAATAATGGACTTATTCATTGGCTGTGTTCAACTAAAAACTGTACAGCAAAAGTTTATACAGATGAAAATTATACATTTATTAAGAATTTAAATATGCCACATCATGGTGAATATTCCAACTAAGTATTTAAAAAGCAGGTGCTAAATAAAATATGTAAAATAAAATCTATTGAAAATGTAAGTACCGGATCAAAAAAAAAAAAAAAATCATTCTAACTGAAATCGGAAAAAATAGTAAATCATCA